ATGAATACAGATTCTGGTAACAAATAAAAGTAGCCAAACATTTAGAGTAAGTGACAATAGAGTCAGTTATGTGTGTATTAACAGCGAATGTATGCGAAAATGAGTTGAAACTCGTATGAAATGAAAGTTAGGGAAGGGATGAGATGTAGGGATGAGTTGAGCCAATGTTTCCTAAATAGTGAGAGCCATAGAGGAAATGCATTTCTCTCGTTAATCGTCGCTTCACTGCCTTAGATATAAAAGTTAGCCATCATTTCGATGATATATTTGTCTATAATGTACTATATGTGTGGCCACTCAGGTCTATAATACACTGTACACATCCACAACCAAACGCTATGCCATTTCAATAGAGAGCGGAGTTTATACTAAAATATATTTATCCGAAAAAAGCCCTTCCATTGACTTAAATCAAGTGTTAGAGAGTTGTTTGGTTTCATTACTTGACTAATAATATTATATCCACCGCTTCTCCAGATAATGGTTATGGAGTTTACACACAATTGTGTACTAAAATAACTTTTTTATGGCATACAGTTTAAGCTGGAGCTCAACATTATAAATAGTGCTTCCATTCACATCGGCTTCCCATACAATGGGAAAGGATTTTAATTGATTTACAAATTATTTTCAATGGAATCAAAAGCCATAAAATTTTTGAATTTTTACACATTTTTCTGCTGCGAAAAACACATAAACTGTAAGGAAAGGCATATTCTCGGTGCCATAACGGTGTGTGTGGACACACATATAAAAAGCCATTAATATTAGGGCAGAACAGTAAAAAAATTGAGAGCACTGCCCAACTAATAGTATGTTATGTTATGGTTTATTACAGTATTATTGTTAGGAGTCGCGGAATATATCGCACAGAATATTCTGGCAGTTGTTTTGCTGGAGAGAGCGCCAAATCGTTGCAAACATTTTTTAACTCTAAATATTGCACATCAAAGCAAATACTAAAAACTTTTGCCTCTATTTCTCACTCACACATACAGTTTAAGGTACTGTTCCTCAGCACTAGTCATACGAAAAACTACTCATTCAATCGATTCTATCATTTTTATTGCCAACTGTAAGACTCATTCTTATTATTGCCGTCTCATAACAGTTGGACAGTTGCGAGAACTCCTCTCCCGCTCTCATTCACCCACATCTCCACCACATCTCTGTCTCTCTCACTCTCTCTCCCCTCCATGAGCTCTCTCTCTCTCTCACTCACTCTCTCTCTCACTCACTCTCTCTCTCCCAACACTTTTCAGTTCGTGATATTGATGTGCCTCACGATCCCATTCAACACACTATTGCTTTAAGGCCGTGGAGTGTCTCAAAGTATACCTCACAATATCTCCGGCATTAAAGCCCCCAATAATGGCCATCGATTGCAAATGTAACAGACCTTAGGGTCAAAATGAAATAACGGTCGCACTTATGCTTATAATATAAAATTCTCTTTTTATTATTTGTTATATATCTTACAAATACTGCATATCAGTGCCACTGATAAGACATAACATCTCTATTGTTATACAACTTATAGATATATACAGTACAGTATAATATTGTTTATATTCAACGCACAAATATTAACCATAGATTTTCTCCTAAAAACATTTGGATTTTGTTTTTGTGTTCACAAAAAAGTGTTTTTTATTTCAAACTATTATTTTGTTATTATATATTTACTTTTTAAAGTTGTTTTCTCTATACCGTTATATTATTGTTAAATACAGAATTAGAATTTGTTTGACTTGGTAACATATATTTTTGATTTTTAATACATATTTATACAAATTCTTCGCAGAATATTCTTATATAATTACACATTAAATATCTCAGAAATATTCTGTATTTTTATTATTATTCTCAATACAATTCTTTAACAATTTGATCGACAAAATCATAAATAACTCAATCGCTGATTGAATGTGTTTAAAAAAACAGTTCAAATATTAGCTAGAAAAAAGTTGACACAAAAAATAACTCATTTTATTCAATAATATTATTCAAAAGCAATTCGTTATTTGCTTTGTGTTTATATGTGTTTAAGAAAAGAAAGTTATTTTTTAGCTCTTATTTGCCTTCGAGTTTAGACGTCGGGAGCGGCGGATAGGGAGGGAGAGAGAGATGTTTGTCAAGAGATTGGAGTAAAACTTTATCTGTATGTCTCGTATGCACTCTATGTGTCGATACAAATCCGACACATAATAGTGATCACCAAAAGTAAAGGCAGTGTCGAGAAAAAAAATTCAATTTTTTATTTTCCCTTCTTATCATCGGATTTGTGGTTACGATTTACAACACAAATAATATGCTTTTCATAATATAAAAAATTGCATTTTTATATAATAATTTGTGTGTAAAGTGTTTGATGAGGAAAGTAGTGAATATCTGTTGGGGAGTGATGTGTGAAGTGAGGTTAGAGTACAGTACCGTATAGTATGTAGTGATGTTCATATGGATTGGTATTTTGGGTTTAGGTATGCATTGCATGCGCCCTCACATTCACAGATACTAACTGAAAAGTCAGGTCTTTTAGGTCTGACTGGCATTGTATGCGAATAACACATGCGAGTGACAGACACCCGATGCCATCCACAATAGCGGAGGGGATAAGCCGTTTGGAAATTTCAAATAAATAATATAAAACTTTTTTGCGATTTCACAGCCTTTGGGCAAAAATGTGTTTAATTTCTTACTCTTTCGTAAAATATTGTTATACTGCATATAAAGGGCTCACAAATCGGGCACAAAAAGGGAATAATTTACTTTTGAATAACAAACACAAAGCAAAATTAATCCCTGGGTCTTATTATTTAGTGTTTAGCTAAACATAACAGGCAAACAGGCATTTGGTTTAACAATAAGACCAATTCATGTTCAGCTAATATAATGAGATTTGAATAAATTTGATGAAAAGTAAAAATTTGACTGCACTTTAAATTTTAATACATATTATTCTCTCTCTCCTCTCAACTAATAATCCGATTCAGAGCTCATCTCTTGGTTTGTCGTTTGAATCGCGACTTTCTCTCCTCTTTTCCTTTTCAGCAAATATTATATAATTTATGTATAGATATAATAATAATATATAAGATTTTTTACAATAAATATCACAGAGAAGTCTTAATATTGATTTCAAATACTGTAATATATTTGAATATTAGCTTTTCTTTTTGTTATGTGAATTGATTTCTTGAGTCGATATTTGAATTTTATTTGCGAATACTTTTTTGTGTCACTATATTAATGAGGGCTTTGATTGCAAATCATATACATATTTATTAATTGTCGTATATTCTTTTTGTTATGTGAATTGATTTCTTGAGTCGATATTTGAATTTTATTTGCGAATACTTTTTTGTGTCACTATATTAATGAGGGCTTTGATTGCAAATCATATACATATTTATTAATTGTCGTATTATTATATAATTTCATTTATTATTATAAATTAATTTCATTTATAAATCTATTGAAAAAATGAATGAACGATATGTTTGAATCTGATTGATGAAAAAAAGGTAAATTAATTAGAAAATAATGATTTGACAAAATAAAACAATTGATTGAATGAATGTCTATTAGATGCGAGAAATGAATGATAACTCATAACAAGGTAATCGCTCTGAAAATATGATGTTTGGTATAAATTTCATGTCTCATCCGATGCGATGGTATTGTCTCTTATATTTTGGTAATCGTCTGGCGGTCGTCGATGTGTTGTCTGAATAGTAATCGTGAATATAATATAAATAAAAATGGTTTTGAGCTAATGTCCAGTAATAGATGTGGCGGTCGTGTGGGTTATGGTATGGTATGGTGTATGGGCTGAGAGGGTATTCATGTGGCGAACACTCGCTGTAACTGTCGGTGCAAATACATCGCGAATAATACGGATAACACTTTCCACTCCTTCGGCGGCGAATCCGAGTTATGGATGTCCTTCGCCTCCGAGCGGACTGTAGTATTCATGTGGCGAACACTCGCTGTAACTGTCGGTGCAAATACATCGCGAATAATACGGATAACACTTTCCACTCCTTCGGCGGCGAATCCGAGTTATGGATGTCCTTCGCCTCCGAGCGGACTGTCGTTGTCATCGCACATAACAAATGAACAAAAATTATTAAACTTATTAAACAAATACAAAAACATTTCGCATACATTATACGAAGTTATGTATTCGTGTAATATATGATATATACTGTATATGAATGCGATATACGAGTGGAATAAATTAAATTATGAGTTAATTACTAATTATCAAAATTACAATATAATGATTCATAACTACTTTTCGTGTTTTATATTCTGCATTCAGTGTTGTATTAACTCTGATATAAAAAAGTTTTTTTATAGCATTCACCGTTGTTTGAGGTTTTGAAATATTTATTCATTCACTCATTTTAATTGTCATTTGAAAAGATGTTTTAAAAAACGATTTTAATTTCAATGACAAACAACTATTCAAACTGTGTATACATTTGCAGCCAAAAGCTGCAATAATTATAATAATACAAAATTTTTAAAACCTACAATGAATGGGTAATTATAACTCAATAATTTGGACGCAATAATTATTTTCATGTCTAGCCTGCGATAAATTCATGCCTCAAATACACAATTCATTCGTGAAATTCATTTTAAATCATAGCCTAAAAAATTATTATTATTATGTGAATAGCTCATATTAATATTATTGAATTTTTAGCGTAAAACTTGGAAATATTTCAAACAACACTTTCCGTGCGATTCTATGCCTGAAATCTAATTATTAAAACATTTTATCATAAAATAGATAATGATTTATACGGTTAGTAATGAAATGCTTACATAACTCTTATGAGTCACTCAACGAAAATTTTCTTAAAAATTTTTCTTTAAATTTACGAGTTTTATGTATTATATAATAAATATTGCATGAATATCACCTTGTAATTTAATTACATTAGCGAGATTTATTTGATAATTATATGTGAATTTTAATTAATATTTTTTTATCGGCACTGTATAAATTAACTAAAAAATAAAATCAATTTGGAAGCAAAACAATAACTAATAAATGAAAAATTGAATAAAATATTAGACATTTTTTAGGAGACTTTAAGTTTCATTAAACTAATTGTGCGATAAATACATAAAATGCATGAAAATATAAATTGAGACTAATTTATGAAAATATGCGTAAATATGATTACATGTATAGCGATAGCATAAACTAGAGTTTAAGTATTTTCATATGAAAAATCTCTGTTTAAATATTAATTTTAAACTTTGATTGAATGTAATATTGAGTTACACACGAGAAATGTGTTGCTCTCATGTAATTCAATATAAGCCGACACAACCAGTTATGGTATTAATACTGAACCATAACTTCCGTTAATTATACTTTTCAAACGCAAAGTGTTGTCAGCAATGAAATTATGTTATAATTTTCATTATTATACATTTAATCATATTTTTCATATTAAGAATATTCAATTACAAAATATTCTATAAAATAAACAAATAATGGAATATATGATAGAAATGTATTCTCAAATGTAAACTAAAATGTAAAGAATATTCCTAAACCCCAATAATCTTATAAAACTTGTTTTAATAATACATGAGACAAACCTTGGCTTAAATTCTCACTATTCATGATATGAAGGCCCGACTGTTGCTGTTGTTTATCATTCTTATTGTAAAGTATGAGTTGTGCCTCGTTTTTGATTTTGTAGAGCCGGGATATAGTGGACGTGCACTTGAGGGTCATGTGGCCACTTGTGGTCAGAAAATGTTTGTCTTGTGCTTTGAATCTCAGGCTAAGACTCGATGTCTCTAAGCCGTCGGCGTGTAATGTCGTGCTGTACTCCACGTCGTGTTCCGCACCGACCTATTCATTGCCATACAGAATATAACATTAGATATATAAAAATGCCATAAATTAATCACATCTTATAATTGCTGCCGTAATTCATAAGAGAAGACAACAATTTTCTTAATTATCATATAATTAGTCAGTCGAGGGATTAATATATGCAAAGTGTGTGTAATAGAGTCTATCATATATTGTGTAACCGTTTCTCTCCCACACGAGAGGCATATAAATGATTATCATATCATATGATTTGATAGTATCTTATTATACATAAACTGATATAAAAGTCAGAATAACTAAACGGAAGAGACTAAGAGAATTGATTCAAAACATTGAGTCAATGCAAACAGAAAGCGCTAAAAAGACAAACACTAACTGTAAACCAAAACAGAGGCAAAACTAATGAAAAAGTATTGAAAACTTGATATTAAAAGCAAAGGTCTTATAGACGTATAGTCGGAGTCTGTGGGGGAGAGACTGAGTCTGATGTAAATTGTATTAAAAATAGATGTGATTCACTCACCGGCTCATCATTAATAGTGAAATTAAGATAAGCTCCGGGTTTAGACTTGGCTGACGTGCAGTTCGCCAGAACCACTTCGCCCGCGATGTACACTGTTTTGCCGCCCGTCGATATGCGCGGCCCCTCTGATGGCAGTACTGATGCCAGTGGAGGGAGTGGGTGGAGGGGAGAGACACAAGAAATGAGAGATAAATACAAAAATTGAAAAAATTGGAGAAAGAAATCACATGTAATAGAATTTGTGTTAAGTTAGTGACCCGTTTATAAAACCCAATGCCCGCTATTTGTTGGAGCGGAATATTTCCCATTTGCCGCTTAATAGTATGATTCGGATTATTCTCTCTCTCTCTCTCTCTCTCTGATATACTTTATACGTGTGTTGTTTTCCCTTCACTTATAGTTAAAAATTTATTTTTCTAATGGAATGAACGTTATTTAAACATTAAATATATTCCCCGATATGTTATGTATGAATGTGTAGAATATTCTGTGTGTGTATATATATTCTTTGTATTATATATGAATTCTGTATTTTATGTATTCGTAGCGCAAATAAAAATTTCGACCCTTTTTTGAATATTTGAATAATTTTGTGTTCACAAAGATTTTTAGGAAATATAAATTTATAATATTATTTTGTATGTGATATGTAACCCAAAAAGTGCGGGATTAGTCTCATCCCTCACTCTCTATTGAATACATAAATTCAAATTTAATTTGTTTTTCATTATAAAATATTATTTTATGAAACAAATGGCATGTCATTTGCCAAAAATTATAAATGCAAAAGCAATTGATGTTTTTAATAGTTTTGTACATACATACACAGAATATTCTGAAATGTATGTAATTTATAAAAATTTATTCTAGCAGCTTATTATTCATATAAGCTATAAAATGTAAATCCTATCTAATCAATAATTTTTACACATAAATTAATAAAAAACATTTAAAACGCTACTTTTGTAAAGCATCATAATTTACAATAAGATTACTTTCAGCGATAGTAACGTTGTATAAAAAATATTGAAACATAAGTTCATATTTACACACAACAAAAAACTATCATAAATCTCACACTTTTTTTTGTTGCAACCATTTCTACGATAAGTATCAAAAAATAGTTTCTATTTTCGGAGATATCTTTCCTAAAGAAAAATGTAAACTATTTTTGAGTTCACAAAAAATGCACATAAATTGTGCTGAAGAAGAGGTTTACGCGTTATATCTGAAACTGAAGTGCAAAACACAAAAAAAAATTTAATCAATAATTGGATGCCATTGCGAGTCAGTAGAGAGCGACGTATGAACCGATTAAATGGCACATGACTTACCAGTAGATGGTATGTCGGCGCCCGTAGCTTTCGCACCGCTAGCTATCGTGTCGAATATGAATTTGCCTTTAAATCCCTGTCCAGGCGTATGACTGCGGCTCAGGAACTGGACGAACAGCACCGGCCCCGTCGACACTAACTCCACATAACTGTTCACATTACACAACTGTCCGATCACAGGGGCGTCGGTATCATTGCCGTCGTGGACCAGTATTACGTCGGGACTATTGATACAACTAATGGACATAAAAAATATGTCAGAGAGAGAGAGAGAGAGAGGGAGAGGGAGGGAGAGAGAGAGAAAGAGAGAGTTCTGTGAGACAAACCTGAGATCACTCTTCTGGAGTCGGACCGACTCTAAGATGACTTTCACCCTCTCGTGTGTCTGTCCCACGAAATGATAGGAGCACTCCGTGTTCTTGGGGTACGTCGACGGGTACTGTGGACTGTAGAAGCGGCCCCTCGACCGTACGGTGCCATTAGTGGTGGCTGTGCTCACGAACTTATAATCACATTTACTTTTGGCGATCAGCTCTCCATCCGTACGAAACATTTCTGCAACAAAAAAGACAATTGAAAATTAAATCAAATCAACGCTCTGTTTGTGTCGAGTATTGCCAAAAACACACATAAAAAATGAGTTTAAAACTTGATTTTGAAGTGAACACAGCATTTGGTGTTTGGTTTTGGCTGTATTTTAAATATGAGACAAAACCTGTCAACACCGGGAGGGGATGTTTGTGTGTGTTTTGTGACAGAGATTGAGAGTAGGAATGGTAGGGGAATGGGCGGACACTTACGCTTATCTAAGAACCTATACGTCCCCCGAAAGCCGGTGTTATTAGCGTTTCTCCAGTCGGACCGGAACTCAAATATAAGGTTTGAATGCGAGCTATAGTGGGTTTGTTCAATATCTGCTATCTTTCCGCACAGAATGGAGTTCCACGCGGTCTTCTCATTAACTCCCGGTGCGTCCAAATGCAGGAATAGTTTCACGAAATCGCCGTATTCGCAGCTATAAGTATTGAACACAAATATAATACAATAAAATTGATATGAATTTATGTCATAAAATTCTGGTCATAAATATATTTCGTAAGCAAATAGAAAGTGGCATTCAATTGATACGATCAACAAAGTGGTGACCGACTGGTCTACTGACTCGATTGTGGTCTTCTGGACGTCGAACTCATCGAAAGTGATTTCCACGATCTGATGGCTATCGGCCAGGAATGAGTACAACAAACAGTTTATATTGTCTACATATCTGTGCGCAAAGAAAAATAAGATAAACAAAGAATAAGTCATAAGGAATCAGATATTGTGTGCCATTTGTTCATTGAAATACACACAGAATATTCTTGTGTACACATAGTTCTACACACAGATAATATTCCTATGCATTCATATGTGGTGTATATGTGCGAGAGAAATAAGATGTCAACTATTGTTTGACACGCATTCATATATCTCGCACATTAGACCACAGAATATTCTGGGGAACAGCTATGGGTGACACTTACGGTACGGGCCAATTGGGTGACGTGAAGACACCGAACTCTTTGCCAAATGTCTCGTCGAATACGACACAATCGCATTTGGTGTTGACAGCCCTCACCGCCGGCACCGACACCTCGGCGATCAATGCGCAATAAACCAGCAGAAATATGCTGTACGGCTCCGACACTGCCATCAAGACATCCATTTAGTAGACCACCGTCGCAGCCAAGTGTAGACAATCGCTGACTGTTGGCTGCATTTTATCGCTTCTCATATTTATTTGACTATAAATTTCACTATAAATACACGAAAAAGAAGGACAAAAATTGTTAATAATAAGAAAATAGAGATTTTTTTCGTCAGCATTTGTTTCAATACTATAGATAACTATATCATTATTATTATGACTACTGTATTACTATAGCCGACAGTTCTTTTCATTATATATTTTCTCCCATTTTTGGCTTAATTTATATATTTCTATATTTTTATATGTAATGTTAATAATAATAGCTATCATATGAATATAGTAGTTGTTGGGGACAAATGCTTTATTCTATTATATAATATTTTTCGTTGTGTTTATATAGTATGTAGTGAAAAAAGTAGTATAAATTATGCCAGAGATAAGGCCTGTTAACTAATTTATATGATGTTGTGAATCCATTTGTTTTACTCAAACACCGTTTTTTGGCAATGAAGTAGATGATAATTATTTTTTGTATGCAACAAAAAGTTTGCTATATTTTATGAATGCAATTATGAATTTTATAATCACTTTTTTATAATTAATTTTCACTCCCTACTCTGCTCTTTTTATTAGTTATCTAATAACAGACATTTTTTCATATAAACAGAATATTCTGTAATAAAATATTGTTAGACGTTTTTCTGTCATCAGTTTTTTTCAGTTGTGTAACAAAACGATAAAAGTCTATAATTTCCTGAACAATCAAAAACGACTATTTTTCGCCGTTCATAGCCTTAACACAGAAAAATTAAAGGAGTTTTGTGTCACAAATGTAAACCAGAAATAGACTTATTTTCGCCTCACATACAGTAGAGGAAAGGCATTGTCTATTGAAGGGGACAGTCGTGTAAATCCATTCACTTATGTATTAAAAGGAATGGAAGTATTGATAAAGAATTTTTGTGTTACAATTGTGTCTCATTTCTCGTTTAATTTCTATATTGAGTTGAAGTCAATGGAGAGTCCAAATGGGAATCACAACCATAAATAAGTTTATTAAGTGAATGAGAAGTCGTGAATATTTTTATACTAATAACAAAAATGAATGAAAGTTATGGAAAGTAATAAATAAAAATAATAGAAATACGATAATTAAATAGTCTTCTAATTTAGTCTATATTTCATATAATCTACAATATTTTATCTGAAATACAATTTTACAGTTTATAAATATAAAATTAAAATATGATGGTTAAAATATGGCACAAACATATTGTATGCCATACAATGTATGGTATATTTGGGTTCAATATTATTTTAGATTAGTTTGTTTTAACAAAACACTTGTATTTTGGCAAAAATTTTGCTTGAATAAACAAATAATATTATCGATATTATATATTTAGGAAATAAAAATTTTAAATAATACAGAATATATAGATATATAGAATTCTGTATATAGAATAACAAAATATATATTTGTCAAATACCGTGGCATTTAAACAAGAATTGTATTTATCAGCAAATAATTAACAGGCAAAGAATGCGAAAACGTTTTGGACGTAAAATGACTTGTATTTAGA